GGTCAGGGGGGGGGGGTGTGTGTGTGGACTCACTCCTGTGTTTGCTTGAGCTGATGACCTTATATTAGGTCTAAAAAGGAATTAGGTGTGTGCAGAAAAGCAAAGCAAAAGCTTTCAGGGTTTGTCTGGCCGTGGGGTGGCTGCAGAGCTGGCGAGGCATGCCATGTGCTCTCGGTGTTGGGGAGCTGCCGTGGACAGGGAGCTCTGCTCTAGATTTTTTTTGTGGTTGGACCTTTCCAAACCAGGCTTTGGGAATGGCCTTTCCACCATCCTGCCTCCTCTCCCCCTCCTAGGAGATGAACAACCTGGAGGAAGGGGTGGAGTTCCTCCCTGCCATGAACTCCAAGAAGATGGAGAAGCGTGGCCCGAAGCGGCAGGTGGTCGTCACCGTCACGATCGTTGTTTTCTTCCTCATCTCCCTCGTCACCGGCCTCCTGGTTTGGCACTTCAGATGTGAGTATGAGGGCTGGTGGGCTCGTAGGGCGATACCCGGGGAGCACATCCACAGGGAGAAGCTTCGTCATCCCTTCTTGCTCACATGTGCCCTCTCTAGCTCGGGGGAGGCTCCAGGAAGTGGGGGGACACCATTTCCACCCCCCTGCTGTGTCTGGGACCTGCTGTGCCACCATCCCAGCCCTGCCTGACCTTCCTAACTCTGACCTGTTGCCTTCCAGACAGGAACGTGGCTGTCCAGAAGTTTTTCAATGGCCACTTGCGGGTCCTGAACTGGGACTTCCTTGACGCCTACGAGAACTCCAGCTCGCCCGAGTTCATCATGCTGGCCAAGAAGGTGAAGAGCACGGTAAGACGTTTCTTGCATCCCTCCTCCTGCAAGCAGGACGTTTTTCCTCTTGCCACAGGGATCTTGCACGTAAGGCTGCTTGGAGCTTTCTTGCTCCTCTCGGATCTCCCCGCTCGCTGTGACACCCTGGGCTGGGCACAAGGAGCCTGCCTTTAAGCTGGGTCTTGGTGTCGTGGCTCCAGCCTAGTGCCACAGCGTCTCCCTGCCTCTGCAAGCCAGTGTGTGCTGCAGGAGGCCGCCGGGGCAAACCCCAGGGTCGGTGGCTGAGTCGGGGCCAGGAGCTGAGGCAGGAGGGTGTCTGCCCTCTGTGCCGAAGCCGGTCTTGCCTTTCCTCTCGGACTCAGGTATTCGTTGTGCTTCCCCCTGGGAAGAGCGGGGTGAGCTGAGTCAGAGCAGGCTGTGGTGTGCAGGTCTGGGCACTTCTGGGACTATCAGCTCTCCCTCTTCCTCTCTTTGGGCGCTGTAGACTCCTGCAGCCAGGGATGCCGGGTATGTGCCCTGATTTTCCATAGCAGGCTTGAAGCTCTGTCTGTCTTTAGCCTTTCCCTGCTCCTCACTTCCAGAGGTGCTGAACACCTTCCTCAAACCTTTCAGGTGGAGGAGATCTACAGGAATCATGCAGATATTGGCCCTTACCACAAAGAGACAGTGATAACTGCCTTCAGGTGAGCGTTAGGTGCTGTCTGAGCCCTGTCTTGGGGTGGAAGAGGATGATTCTGGGATGTCACGCAGCTGTATAGCCCCATTCCCGGGCTGCTGGGTATGGGGGCACCTCGGTAGTCACTGAGTGACACAGGAAAGGGTGGGCAGTGACAAGTGACCTGAAAATGTGTAGTGTTTTCTGCCAGTCTTCATCACTGAGAGAGATGTCCTGGAAAAATCAAGATATGGTACAGTAGAGCCCTATGAACTGCAGTGGGTGGTGCCTGGCAGCTTCAGAAGGGCTGGAGGGGGCTTTTGCTGGGCACAGTTTGCTTAATTTATCCCTGAGACTCTCCCTTCCCCACGACCACCCTCCAAAAAAGGCTCATCAAGTAGCCTGGCCCCTTCTTCCACTGATACTCGAGCCCTCCCATGTCTGTCCTCACCCTAACCCCATAACCTTGCCCTCTCCTGCAGCGAGGGCAGTGTCATTGCCTACTACTTGTCAGAGTTCCTCGTCCCCAAGTACCGGGAGGAGAGTCTGGACAGGGCGATGGCAGACAAGCAGAGCCTGGTCCAGAGGTGGAACCCCCGCCTGCGAAACCCCATGCTGAAGGTGGAGTCGGTCATCGCTTTCCGTGAGTGCTGGCTCTGCCGTCCCTGGGCCTCTGCGGTGGGGCTGGGTGGGACACAGCCCTCACTTGGGTGCCTTTGGCATCGGGGATGGCTTTAAGGGCAAGCAGAAGGACCTGGCTTTCCCAGAGCTGCCTTGAGCGGGGAGGCTGTTGGGCCCACTCCCCTTCGCCCGAACACTCTGTTCTCCCCTGAGCCCGTCTGGGGAGGGACAGGGCTGAATCCTCCCTCCTGCAGAGGAAAAGCTCGATCTCCTGGCTCTGGGGAGCCTCCCCCTGGACAGCTTTTGGTGGGGAGAAACCCCACCAGCACAGCCAAATCCCAGGGACCTCCTCGGCTTTGTGCCCAGGGACTTTCTGCAGCCCAAAGATGACACCTCCTCTCTTTTTTTCCTGCAGCTGCTGACCCCAGCATAGCTTACTCAGCTCGAGACAGTAAGTACAGTTGTTCTTCAGCCTCTGTGTTCTTCTTCAGAACTCTTTGGGGTGGCAGTTTCCCTTGCGGGTTGAGGAAGAGCCCAAGTGTCACAATCTCAGAATCTTCAAGGTTGGAAAAGCCCTTGAAGCTCCTCCAGTCCATCCATGAACCTCACACTGACCATTCCGAACTCCACCAGACCCCTCAGTTCTGGGTTAGCCCGACTCATCAACCCCTCCAGGGATGAGTAGAGGTGCCGTGTGTGCGCCTCCATGTGCTGTTGAGCTGGTTTGGGGTTGGCCAGACTGTGGCGCTGACTTAGCAGTGGTGGGTGGCCTTGGCTTCCCCACCTTGGAGGCAGGGGGAGATAAGCAAGGATGCTTCCTCGAGGGGTGTGAACTCCCCATCCCAGGGAAAGGCAGGGCAGAACCTCCTCGTTTGCCTTGTTAACTCTTCCCTGCTCTCCTGGGCAGATAGCTGTGTGTTTGCCCTCCATGCCAAGGAAGGGGAGATCACCAGTTTCACCACGCCGGGCTTCCCCAACAGCCCGTACCCCAACAACGCGCTCTGCTACTGGACTCTGAGGGCAGATGCCAACTCCATCATCAGCCTGACCTTCAAGACCCTGGAGCTGGAGCAGTGCACAGACGACAGCGACTACATTAAGGTGTACAACTCCCTGAGCCCTGTGGAGCCCCACGCTTTGGTCAGGTGAGTGTCCCCGTTAGGTTCCTGTACACCGAGTCCTGGCTTGAGGTGGCAGGGTGCACTAAGAAGTCCTGCAGGTAACTGAGCTGCTGTCCCTGCTCAGAGGTGATCTGTGCTGCTGGAGGCTCCCTGTGGCTAACAGGTTTTGTCCTTTACTTCCTAGGCTCTGTGGGAATTACGCCCCTTCCTACAACCTGACCTTCCTGTCCTCCCAGAACGTCATGCTCGTCACGCTGGTTACCAACAAGGAGGGGAGATTCCCCGGCTTTAAGGCTGAGTTCTTCCAGCTCCCCAAGATGAAAGGTGAGGTGAGGCCTTGTCCCGCTTCCCCCCACCTCTCCCTGCCACGGGCAGTTTGCCAGGGCTGTTTCCAGGGCCGGGAGATGTGGAAGCAGGTCCCATCATGGCTCTTGGAGCTTGCCTTGCCCACGGTGCTCTTGGCTGCTGTAATGATGTCCCCTGAGGAGGGCAAAGAAAGAGGGATGGTGGATTAAACATGCAGATTGATGTATGCAGGAAGCACCTAATTGATCTCCTGGGTTGTCTCCAAGCCTTGGAGCAGAGCTGCTCTCTCCAGAGATCAACTTAGCTTTGTTAGAGATGGTTTCATCTGCCTCCCTTCCTGCCTCGGGTGGTAGCCAGCCGAGGCTTGGGCAAACCACGTCTCTCTGGATCTCTAACCAGTTTTCATCTTCCTGCTTATCTTCTAGTCTGCGGTGGGACTCTGAAAGCAGAGAGCGGCACCTTCACAACTCCCTATTACCCAGCACACTACCCCCCAGCCACGGACTGTGTCTGGAACATAGAGGTGAGACGGGGTCCTCTCTTTGCCTTAATTAATCCCTCCAATGCACTTCGTTATGTGGGACAGTCTGGCGTGGCTGGAGGGAGGCTTTAGGAGCTGGTGCCAGAGGCAGAAGAGGCTGTGAGGAACCCCACGTGACATTTATCGTAGCCCCTGTTAACTGTAGCTTTACACAAAAATCAAGTGGGCTTTGGGACAGGCCAGTCACTTACTGGCAAAACTGGTGGCAGGGGAAAGAGTCTGCCCTGGGAGAACAGGCACAGCTGATGTGTCTGGCTTCAGGCTCTGCTCTGTGTTTGGGCTGGGACTCTGGGCTCAGCAAGTCATGCGACATTCAATGACGGCGTGAACCACGACTGCTTTCCAGGAGGGTGTTTCTTTTTCCACTGGTCTTCCTTCTTCAGTTACCTCCTATCCTCCTCCCAACCTCTTTTCCCACAAAATTTCTTCCCGTTTTCTGTGCTCCAGTAAACAACATGCCACTGACTCCGCTTCCTTTTGCAGGTCCCCTCGAAGAAGAACGTGAAGGTGCGTTTCAACATGTTCTTTGTGCTGGAGCCGGGGATCCCGGTGAGCTCCTGCACCAAGGACTACGTGGAGATCAACAGCACAAGGTGGGTGTCTGACCCACGGCTTCAGCCCTGCAGAGGCCACGGTCAGGGGAATTGTGTGGCATCCTGTGATGTGTTTAAGTTACATTCACTGTTTGCTATTTACACAACCTAATGGCAGCTGAGCCAAAAAGACAACTTGGTGCTGCGCAGGGGAAGTGGGCAGTGTTGTTTCACACTGTTTTGGGCAAGGAGCTGACTCTTCCTCAAAGAGAGAGTGTTTCAAATCAGCTCAGTCACATCTGTGGCCCTGGCTAGTTCCCGCAGTGGTCCTTGGGCAAGTGATTCACAGAATCCAGGTTGGAAAAGCCCTCGAAGCTCCTCCAGCCCAACCATGACCCTCTCCCTGACTGTTCCCAACTCCCCCAGATCCCTCAGCGCTGGCTCAGCCCGATTCTTCAACCCCTCCAGGGATGGAGACACCCCCCTGCCCTGGGCAGCCCATTCCAACGCCCAACAGCCCCTTCTGGAAGGAAACTTCCTTCCAGCCCAGTGTGGGACAGCTTTAGAGGCCCCACAGATCCAGAGACACGGTGGATCTGAGATCAGATGGCACTGTGTCGGGCAGGGATCTGGACAAACTCACTCCCAGTTGTTTCCAGGGTCACAACTTGGGTGTGTGCAGCTGGCCCAAACCTTCTGCCAACAGCAGCAAAATTCATCTCCTGTGTGCAGTCCTTGAGGTCCATCAGTCTGTGGCCTCTCTCTGTTCTCCTGCGCCCAGAGCTCTCCGGGGGTGTGAAGGGACCGTGATGGGGAGCTCAGGGATGGAGGAAGGTCTGCTCAGCGCTGCTCCCCCTTCATCTTTGCTCTCTCTCCCTGCAGGTACTGTGGGGAGCGTCCCCAGTTTGTGGTGGCCAGCACTACCAACAAAATAGAGGTCCGGTTCCACTCAGACCAGTCCTACACAGACACTGGCTTCTTGGCTGAGTACCTGTCCTATGACTCCAGCGATCGTGAGTTGAAACCCTGAGGCTGTGGGGGGAATTGATCTGCCCGAGGGCTGGAGGCTGTCCCTCCTCTGCGCTTACACTGCCCTGTAAATTGGAAGCCGTGTTTCTGGGGGACAGGAGTGTGTCGTATTTTCCTGCAAACCTCCTTGTATTCCTGCTCTGCTCTGAGGAAGAGGGTGTTTCTAGTGCTGGACAGGCCCAGGGGACATTGAATGCTTTGGGGAAGAGGAGACATAGAGGGGACAGCAGGCAGGCTGACAACGTCCTTTGATCCCCTTTCTCCCCTCTCAGCCTGCCCTGGCAAATTTACCTGCAACACGGGCCGCTGCATCGACAGAAGCATGCGCTGCGACGGGTGGCTGGACTGCGTAGACGGCAGCGACGAGAGATCCTGCAGTGAGTCTTGTCCTCCCACTCACCCCAGTCTGCCTCGCTCCTCCGGGCTGCAATGAGAGGTGCTCGGGGTGGGCATCGATTTGGGATCCTTTCCCAGCGTAGGAGCCAGGAGTTCCTGCTAATCCAGCTCTCTCCCAGTGGGATCTCCCTCCTTTTCCAGTCTCTCCCAGCTGAGAATGTGTTTTTTCGTTTAATCCTCCTGATAGGACTGAGCTGGGTGGTGTAAAGAGTCTGGAGCACAGGTCTGCTGGGGAGCGGCTGGGGGAACTGGGGGGGTTCAGTCTGGAGAAGAGGAGGCTGAGGGGAGACCTCCTGGCCCTCTGCAACTCCCTGCCAGGAGGGGGCAGAGAGGGGGGATGAGTCTCTGGAGCCAAGGAGCCAGCGCCAGGCCCCGAGGGAATGGCCTCAAGCTGCCCAGGGCAGGGTCAGGCTGGCTCTGAGGAAGGATTTCTGTGCAGAAGGGGCTGTTGGGCGTTGGAATGGGCTGCCCAGGGCAGGGGGGAGTCCCCGGGATCCCTGGAGGGGTTGAAGCTGTCTCTTATACACAT